ATGTTTTTCTGAGGATCCTTTCTATTTTGTAGTTTGAAGAGCTGTGCTAGTTTGAGAAGACAAAATGTAAAGATAATTTAAGTAGGAATGTAACAGTTAAGTATACATTCAAGTATGTATTTGTTTGGGATGTTCTTAAGGATATGATGTATTTTTTATTTTAAAATGTCTCCTTTTGGCTGTCAGATCTACTGGAAGCCCACAAATTATTCATTAACTATTAGGATTATTGGCACAGTACTGAATCCTTTAGTTTTTAGGTGGATACATGGTTTTATGGTAGGTTGGTACATGGATAAACTTCTGGTATGTATTCCACCAGCACGCTGCACAACTGCACAACCCTAAGCATTTAGGTAGATGAAAGGATCAGCTATTGGAGGACCTAGCCTTTGATGCTATTTTTCTAGAGTTTAATGTGTCAAATCTCAATCTCAGAGACTATATCTATGACCAAATAGTGTTTGGAAATCATACTTCTACAATATTTTTAATTTCTTTGGTTTCAAACCTACTGAAATTCCCCAGATTTCTAAATTTTAGGCTCGGGGCCACATAACAGTTTTCAACATGCTGCATCCAGGTTCGCTGGAAGGGTTATGATTCTAGTGAAGACACGTGGGAGCCACTTGAAAATTTGAGGTATATTAATGCATAACTAAGATCTCTATTTAATTTTAACACTATTATTCTAAGATTTACATTTAATCAGCAACTGCAAAGACCGAATTAAAGATTTTGTAAGAGAAGGAATCTCGTCAAAGTTACTGCCACTCCCTGTAAGTATTTTGTACTATTTCAATGCTAGTTTTTTTGCAGAAAATTGAATCTCGTGAATAGTAACACTTAGGATCAAAATCAGCGTGACTTTCTGTTTCATATATACATTCTTGAAGCGCTGAATATTTCTGTTCAGGGAGATGTAGATTTTATTTGTGGAGGTCCACCATGTCAAGGTATTAGTGGATTGAATCGTTTTAGAAATGCTGATGCGCCATTAGATGATGAAAGAAATCGCCAAATTGTTGTCTTCATGGATACTGTGCAATTTTTGAAGCCTAAATATGTTTTGATGGAAAATGTTGTTGATATATTGAAGTTTGCCAAGGCTACACTTGGGCGGTATGCTTTAAGTCGTTTGATTGAGATGAATTACCAAGCCAGATTAGGCATTATGGCTGCTAGTTGCTATGGTCTTCCCCAATTTCGCTTGCGTGTCTTTTTATGGGGTTGTCATCCTAATGAGGTAAAATTTTTATTATCATTAAGTATCCCAGTTATATTGTCTAATTCTTTGCACAGAAATTGCCGCAGTTCCCACTTCCTAATCACGAAACCATTTTGAAGCATGGCTCTTCCGTTGAATTTGAGGTATAATTGAACGTGTCTCATTTATTCTCATAATTAAAGTTAACATTATAGTCTCATATCGCATAAATGAAAGGAAAGCAATTTTTAATTGGCAAAAATTTCTATCTTTTATTTGATGAAATGTTTTTTTTTTTTGGATTTGATTATAGAGTAGTTCAAAATCTCAACTCCTATCTGTCCAGTTGAAAGAATAATTTAGTTTGTTTCTTCAAAA